TTATACTATATTCTTAACAAAACAAAAAATATTATAATATATGAATTCTTTTATTTTTTCAAGACAAATATTAATATAAGTATGACAATTTTTTTTTTATTATTAAAAATAGTAAATTTACAATCTATACAATGGTATAATAAGTAAGTGTGATGACAAAATAACAAAATAACATTAAATACAGAAAAGGAAGGCTCCCAGCAGTGCCACGCGACCTGACAAGAAATTAAGTACAACAATTTATACTAGAAAATACGTAATATTGTGATGTTTATATACTATATATAATTGTAATATAGTATATAATATATATATGTCATATTATGTGTGTGTATTATATATACATTATTGTATGGCCGCAATTCGTACGTACCTCTCATAAACCCGGGTTGCAACTCATACATCATTTAGGGATTAGGCTGCAACTCACCAACACTGGTTCGGGCAATTCAAATTATAATTAATACCATGTCATTTTAGCTGAATAATACAACAACATAAACTACGCGTAATATTCCGATGAATACAACATTGAAGTGTAATTTTTTACATACCTACGCCGCGCGCCGGCAGCGGCTCTAGTAAAATACTATATCAATATTTAATTGAAAAATTAATATATTAATAAAAAATTGTACATTATAAATAAATACGACCGTTTAATTATTTAATAAGTACTTAAAATAATTCCATTTAGCTTAAAAAACTTTATTTATGAAATGCGATGATGACCTAAAATCTAAATCCTTTATAACATTATGTTCACAAAATTTGCCACATTTCAACATGTATTTTTATTATATGCAAATTACAAATACATCTCAACACGATACCATAATTAACGACGCAAGAAGTACAAAATCTGTTTAATATGATAAATAATAATTAATTGTAGATATTACTATATTTTGATTTTGTTTATTTATTCTATAATGAGCACATTGTAAATACAAGAACTGCATACAACTATACAACTGTTCAAACATAATACAGTTATCCGTATATATAAATTAAACGGAAATATTTCAAATTGGATAAATAAATTTTTTCGTGGAAAAAAATAATAAATTATATGAAATGATCAATTTATGTCTTAAAAATGTCATTGATGAATAATAATAAAATATTATAATGAGAGTCATCAGTATATTATTGTACGGGATTTATTGTATTCGGGTTGTACAGACGGCCAAAACGCATCAAAATTCAATTGATATATAAATTACAGTAATATTGTTCATAACTATGAAATAATATGGTACGGTATATTTTAAGTTTTTGGAGTTATTAGGTTTAAATAGACTCATAAAATGATATCTGTCTCACTACATAATGTAGTTTTAAAACTTCCATTTCATTTACAATACAGGGCAAAGGCACAAAGTATATACTTTTTTTTTAAGGGGAACCCACGGCAACATAGGCCATTGGGTAAGGTATATACTATTAAAGTAGTATTTAATATTAAATATTTACATAATATGACTATTACACGTATATATTTCCTACTATAAAACTAAAGATAAATTGAGGCAATTATTATAAAGACCTCTTTGCAGAGCTATGCAAATCTTATATAGGTAGGTACCTATGTACTTTTTTATAAGGGGGTCGTCTGAAAAAAAAATATTCAAAATAGAAAACAGTTTAAATTATTCAAATTCAAGCAAAATTAACATAATTAGAGGTGCCGGGAGTCAACAACCATTGTATTATTTAAGCATAAATATATATAATATATGTGACAAGGGTAAACTAGTGTCATATTAAATAGGTTAAAAACAAGATGTTCGTTTGGATTAATACGTTTATATTCTATAATATACAGTAATGGGGGAAAATGTATTCATACATCAAATGTACATACATTTTATTATTTACCTACTTGGAGTACCATTGAACGGGCCATGTTAAATGGTCTAGACTGTCTAGAGTGTCTAGAGTGTAATAATAAATTACTGGAAAATAATGTTACCACCTAAATTTTAAATATTTTCTAATCTTTGTATGTATTAACCATACGCAAACAAAAATGTATAACTGTTGCAATAATGGTAATTTGCTATATTTATAACTTCGTTTAACAAATATATCTTAAGGTTTAACAATACGCATTGTTTATATACCATATATATAAACGGACAAAGAAACAACGTATAGGTACTATAGTTAGGTACGTATAATATGTACGTATTAAGGTACGACGGCAACTACAAAGTATATTTTTTCAAAAAACATCAGCAATATTATTTTTGAACAAATTATTATTTATTATTTTTATTTTAGGACGAACGCCAAATGAGTTCTATGTATTTATGTCTACGTATAAAGATTAAAGACCTATCAAATAAAACTATATTATTGCTTCTGGGTGTAGGATTTAGAGCCGAGATACGTCAATTTAATGTGTTCCTGATCCCGGGACTTTCATTTTTGTGGGTAAAATATGAATTCTATGTATATAAGTAATCAATTATAATTTAAAATGTGAAATGTACGTTCAGATTTTTATTTATTTCGTAGGTATATGAATTTAATGCATTAAGAGGTATGACCAAATAAAAAACTGAACTGAATCAATTTTAGGATATAGTTATAATAACCTTGAAAATTACCTACCTACCTATCTACAATTTAATGAAGGAAAAATTCTAAATGGTTTAATTTAAAAGTGTCTCAAAGGCCAAGGTGATGAAGCGCCAACGGGTGATATTTTTATAATACCTCTTAATGCATTAAATTCATATAACTTCTGACCAAATAAAAAACTGAACTGAATCAATTTTAGGATATAGTTATAATAACCTTGAAAATTACCTACCTACCTATCTACAATTTAATGAAGGAAAAATTCTAAATGGTTTAATTTAAAAGTGTCTCAAAGGCCAAGGTGATGAAGCGCCAACGGGTGATATTTTTATAATACCGTTTATAACACGACAGGTTATAAACGCAGATTCAACAATTAATAAATGTAATAGTTAAATTAACTTTTACCCAAACGAAGCCCCTTGTCAGTACTCAGAAAATCATAAAGCACCCATAAACAGACCCCATAACTACACTGCTCTGTTTTTTAGATAGTAAATATATTTGAAATCTATCAGTACATGTAAAAGGACAATTAATACAATTATTTATACATTTATAGAACACGTATTTTCACAAACACAGTTAAAAACCGTAAGTGATTTTCGCTTTGCAACCTACATCAACATCACATAATTCAGCAGATAATATCATAAAAACCGTGAATTTAATCCGATAAAAATTCGTTAGATATGCATGCACTTATGCACTAAAAAATAGGAAAATATGCAAAGTTAATATGAACCAAAAATTCCATAACATACAAAATAAATTAGTCTAAAAAATGCACAGTATGTAAATATGTCGCATCCACTTAGTGTAATCGTATTTTTCATGAAATGGGCATATATTTTATCCATTTCATGAAATGAAAACTTTTATTTTACACTTTGTGTAATATTTTAAATTAATTACATCAACAGATAACTTTTTGTGAAATAGAAATCTTTAAATTTAAAAAAATTCTAAGATCTCTAAATTCAACCACAGTTTAAAAAAATGTAATTGCAATTATTGTCAATCAGAACAAACATAAACTTCACCAACTCGGAACTCAATATGGTTTAGTAAAAGGGTGGTACAATTCAGCAAGTTTGAAACCCGCGACATCAAATTTTTTTAAAACTACTGAAGTTAATAATGATAAAGAACTCACATTATGTGAAACAGTTTCTCATATTTCTGGGGGACAAGGTTTTTTAAGTTGTACTTG